GGCTGCCCCCCCACCCCCCCCGGGCCTGCCATTACCGCCCAGCGGCCGGCCACACAGCTCTGGCCATGGCTCCATGGTGACAGCAGGAGGTTTTGGAGGCATTGGCTGTCACCGTCATAATGGGCCTCCAGGTAAGCAGCAGTGACATGTGCAAGCTCAAGCCCTGCCCCCCCCACCCCACGTATAGTTGAATTTGCGCAAGTTAAATGCGCATAAGATGCGACTGACCTATATCTTTAATTAGACCAACTAGTTGTTCAGTTTTGCTTACTTCCCTTCCCAAAAACCAATCCCCCTCAGCCCCTCCCCCCCAAAACCAAAAAAAAGCCCAAAAATCCCCATGCCATGCTTCAATGAAACTGAATTTAGTTGAATATGTCCCATGCAGCTCTAGTTTCCCAAAAGACAACACAGACAATGATTTTAGCCTTCAACATATACATAACAAGGAGTGCAGATCACCATCACCTGTTTAGTTATACTTGATTCTAACCAAAAAAAAGGCGGACAAGAAATTAATCTAGGGCTACAAGAATAATTCATTTTTTCAAGTTTGGTAGTCAAAAAGGAAAACTGAAAAATATATCTGTTTATTGTGAACCTAATGAGATTTCTTCACTTTTCCTCGATGAAATGAAAAACTAAAAACCATTTGTTTTTGTAGCATATGACACATTGCTTTTAACCCAAAACAAGGTATTTTTCTTCCATTTCTTTTAAACAAATGCAAAGCAATGGAAGTTAAAGACTCAACTTGAGTACCATTCAAAAAACTGGAGGAGGGGATACTTCTCCTTTACCTAGTTGCCTAGTAACAGTATGTTAGACAACACTATTTGAATACATAACACTGAAATAGTTAATTGAAAGAGTAAAAAAAAAAAAAAAAAAAAAGTGTTTCTACTTCAATTTTCAAGATTTTTTTCTTAACCAAATTTGCTCATTTCAAACACAATTTAATTAAATGTTTTGCTTCACTTGAATCTGAATTTCAGTGGAAAAAAATGGTTTTGACCAAAAACTGTTGCCCGGTTCTATTCACAGACACTGCACAGTCAGGTAGTGAGGCTGGATTTTGTTTTTCATTTATTATTCCCATTAAACATGTTTAAGCTGCAATAACAATCTTGCTTATAAAGGAAAACAATTCTAAATAGAAAGCTGTAGAGTGAACTTCTGCATTACCATGTTTTATCACACACAATACACCTCCAGGTAACCTATGCACCTTGTTTTTGAAAGGTAGGATGAAGAAAAAAAATAGATCTTTCCTTGTACTAAGTAACTAAGTAGTAGCTGCTAGGCAGCCAAGCCTGCTTATATTTCTGCACCTTGTGGATCCTGTTCAGAGTTAGTTTTGCTTTTGTCCAGAAGAAGCTTAAGTGGCAGAAACTGCTGGTACCATATTTCCTTGTTTATAGTGTGCGCTCCAATTTCCAGCAGCTGAATTCTGGAAAAAGTTGTGTGTTGTATGAGAGAAAAATACAGCAATATAAACTCAGTTCTATGCCTCTAGACTTCCCCAATAAGTAATAACACAGATTTCAACTAGTAACTTATCTTATGGTAAGTGCAGTGTTGAGAGCCAGAAATTTTACTCGCCTTTGCAAGTTCCTACATAATATAGAAAATTCTGATTTTCCTGATGCTTCCATAGCTTTTCAGCATTATGGAAGCAATACCCAAATAAATTATTTAAATTAGTTTTAACAAAATTCTGTTGATAAAGTACACTACTGTCCAAAATTCACATGGCTTAGAGGAGATCCACCCTGTCCCAGTATTGAAGGTCTGCTGTCAGACAGAGATGCACGCAGATGCACACAATATAAATGACACACTCTGAGATATGGAATGATCACTGTGGAGGGACACCTTTCTTTATTGAATAATGATGGCAAAGGATATTTCTACGTATCCAGTCAAGACATATGCAGTGATACAGAAGTGTGCTATTTATATTAGAGGTGCACCAATACATCGGTCCAATATTGGATCAGTACCGATATAAAGAAAATTTTCTACATCAGATATCGGCCCCATTGGGACAATAATTTGGCCAATAAATACCTGTGCTGCGTGCAGCTGCAGTACAGCATGGAGCAGAGCTGGCAGTGTGGAGATCTACCTCCAGCTGATAAGTCAGAAGGGGAGCGGGGAGGAAAGGGGCATGGGGGGGCAGATCAACACCCCCGCGATGAGGGAGGGGGCAGGGAGGTGCTGCCCGGGGC